TGCAACTCCGGCAACGCGCACATGGCATTGATCGAATGGAAGGGGGGGGGGGGGCAATCTTCCAGCGAGAGAACTGATGCAGCATTAAGTACCGTACGCACAGGATCAGGTGTCATGCCCGGTACGAGGAAGGCTTTTTGAGCAATCTACCATGCAAATGATTCGTAAAAGGGAATTTCCGCCCCCCCCCCTTCCAAATTCAACTTTCAATATCAAGGAAGGTATTCTCGTCCCGTAAACGGAGCTCACAAGGGTCCTTTGAGCAATGTACGTCACACGGCAATGCTTCAGTTTCAGAGTCATTAATAAACCCAGCAGATTTAATCCATTATCCTGACAACCACATAAACGGATAAATACACGACGCTGCGAGGTCACGCCTATACTTGGGCCAAATTTTTGGGGGGAGACGAAAATGGCAATACAAACTGGCCCAAGGATAGGCCACGTGGTGCTAGTACGATGCTAAAATGTGGCATTAGCCTGCTACCACCTAACAATATTGTCCTGTACACAAATATAAAATTTTGAACAACCAAGCTTCAACTCAATGGTGGCCGTAGAGGGCTTTAAAAGTTGGCCGAGGGTTAGTTTACAGAAGCGTTCATGACAAGCGCGAGGGTACAAACCGTCCGTACAGGCCTGGGCAGTTACTGTGTGGTGCGTCATGCTGCATCGATTTTTATTTTTAAGAAACTTAGATTAACCTCGATTTGAAGCTTTCGTGACTGCAGGAATCCATACTCTTTGGGTTCTTTCGGTAAAGTCACGTAGGTATGAAATAAACCACGACGTTTCGGGACGCTTGTGTTGCGCCCGAAACGTCGTGATTTATTTTATTTTATACCTACCTGACTTTACCGAAAGAACCAAAGACTTAGATTAGAGTGTATTGATTAATTTCGGCAGGAAGGGCCCACCAAGCCGTTAGTTCAGTTCCAGTCATGGTGTTATATATATAGGTCAAGATACAAAAAGGAGAGTACATCGGCACACGCTTTAAAAACACGTGACAGGATTTGCTTGCAGGCAGGACCGCGGCGCGTTACTGCGAATGTAAAGCGTTGATACACAAAGTGGTCCTGGTCAAAGCAGCAGCAGCAGCAGCCACATTATTGGCCGACAGGCCTCCCTCCAGTGGGCTTTTATTCAATTGGCATCTACACTTAGCCCCCCCCCCCCATGCCTATCACGTTCTCAGTCATAGTCGATTGCCCATAGGCGCTTTGTTGACTCGCTCTTGGATTGAGGGGGGATTCCCGCAACCGTGCCGGTCACGTGCCGGTTGTTGGCCCGCACTTCATCGAGCTGGTCAGTGAACGTCAAAGGCAGGGGACGGCACAAGTATAATAACATTGGATTTTGAAGCACTGCCATTTGCTGCAAACGATAGCACCTGTTGGGTGTGGTGGTCACTATCCAGGCTAAAATACAAACCCTGCCCGGCGTCGGCAAATTTGCCGAAATTGGGGTCATAGGCACCGGTAAATCGTAAGCGCAGTGCGCAAACAGTGTGCAGCGGACTCTAACGTCTCGGAGTAGGCCGTGTACTACTTTGATTAATTATTCCTCCTCTCATAATTGGGAGTATCAGACGTAGCACAGGTCATGCCAACGCCGTGTTAGGGCATTTGACTCTCCAGGCGTGCGCCCTCTTGTGGGTGCATACGATTTGTTACATCAGAATACGACCAAACAATAGGTTTTTATTTTACCAAATCTTTGCGAATTATTTGCAATTCATTAACTGCCCAGCAATATCTCCGAGATTTTTTAATTAACCTTCATTAGTTCGCGCCGTTCAACGGGAGAGATCTCCCAGAAGGCATTACAATTTCTGAAGTTTGCATTGAACACTCAACTTCCATTCAGTAGTTTTCTTCACAAGGCGAATAACTGTGGCTCACAGCCACCGTGTTGGCTCCGATTAGAGTGGGCTTAGACGATTTTAAATTGAGAATCGTTGCGAATTTACACGCGCGTTTTTAGTGGCGTATCCTAGCATATGTACGGTGCGAAAGAAGCTCAACATACGCTACCGTGGCCAAAAGTTTTTCTCCAATAAAAAAGGGACTGGCCAAACATGGCAAGGCAGGCTTTCTCCTGCGGCTCCCAAATGCAGAGCAGATTGGCCTGGTTTCCTAGGAATATCTGATCAGCTGATCATAACTGGAACGGGGTTTAATGGCAAATATCAAATTGCGTACAATGATAACGCGGGCGCCCTCTTGTCGAGAGGCTGCGATAATAACGTGCACTATTTAATTAAGTGCGGTTCCTAATGGAACACTGGAACCTAATCAAGCCGTTGATCGGTGATGGGCTTCACGAGTGAGCCCACGGCTCAATAACGAGCACGCTATAAGTGCCACACTGCCAATCGACTAAAAAGACAGCTGTGCAAGACCGGTCCCCACCACCGGAATGTGGAATTTCCACCTCTTGTTCGGAACATCCAATAGCGATAAGCACCACCCAACAGCTAGAGTATGAACAAACTCCCGGATATATATATTAATGCCAGTACTAGGATGGTGTTCGATTGTTTTGGCTTGATCTGAATAAAACAAAAATCAGCCCTAGATAGGAGATCTGTAAAATGAGTTTTGGATGGATATGAATGGATGGCGTCACAGCAAACATCACCGATATCCCGCGACATCTGCATCTTTCCTGCCAAGCGATATCACACGGCATCGGGTGACACCACTTTTGTAAGCGTGGACATGCGCTAGATTATAAAAAAACCCGATCTATAAAGACCCGAAATTGTTCTAAAAAAAGGCATCCCTCCCACCGATTCATAAACAGACTTTTGGATGAGATTGCACAAGTTACAAGGTGCCTGCCATAAAACCCTCCTCAAACTCGACACAGCCCAATGAAGGATGAAGCTATTGCACAACACCGGTGGCATTCCTTGAGAGCGATCCACGCACAATTGGGTGCAAACGTTTCGCTGGTGGCTATAAAGCAGCAGCAGCAAACAGTTGCCAGAATTGTATTTGTGCCATCCAACCAAAAAAAAAACTATTTAGAATCAAAAATATTGCTTGAAGGCCTCAACATGTTATATATATAAAAAATACCTTGGGAACTAAACCAAATACTGCGTCTGGCAATAGGACAATCAGCTGTTGGACCTCGGCCGGTCAGGTTTTTATTAGTTATTCCTAAAGAGAAGCGCTGTCGCGTGATGAAGAGAGCAGTGCGTGCGCGCGCGCGGACACGAGCAGAAATTCCGCGAATTCGCACACGCCGCACGTGCCACGCCACCAGAGCGCCGTGTAAGCGTAGGAGCCTCCCCCGCGATGTCGTTGACGTCAAGCAAACGGAGGGGAAAAGCTTCGAATGGATCGTCGTTTAAAAAAAGGTGCTGGCAGAAAAACAAGAAGAAAAAAAACGGGGGGCTTTGAGGAGACGCGCCATGCACGCGCACATTCCAAAAAAAAAAGGAACCGAATCTGGCAGAAAATGAAAACGAACACCGGCGATGAAGTTGCCCCGGCTGTGCGGTTTCACTTTCGGCTGCGGTACGAACCCTTGAGAGCCGACACAGCCAAGCCCGTTGTTGTGCCCGACTGCCTCGAGCTGGTTTTAATGATAATCGCTCAGCATTTATTTGCGTACGCAGGAAAGCCTCGCCGTGGTTAGTGACCCCACGTCCCCCCCCCCACCGCCTGCCAGGTCCGCTTGGGAGGAACCTCCCAATTCCCTTAAGGGTATTTCTACATGGGAGCAAAGGGAGGGGGGGGGGGGGAGCCGAGAGAAAATACAAAAACACGGAGGGAAGAACGTGAGAACTATCGCACGGAGAACAAAAACCATGCCGGGAGTAAAGAGATAACAGGAGCGAGGGGCCCTGAGATTGCTGGTGGAAGAGCCTCCACCAGGAGGGAGCTCTAGCAGCACCTCGAGAAGCGATTTGGTCTCCACCTTTCAGTACCCCCCCCGAGACTCCTACTCCACGGCCTCTCCACCTGCCGTTGGACTAAACTTGTCCTCATCACGTCCCGCGGCGGAGACACCTTGCCGCGCCTACGCGTGCGATGTTGTTTTGCCATCTCGGTGTGATCCACCGACCCTGCAGCAAACAAATTGCTGGAGTTGAGAGTGTAATGGGGAAAGAGAAAAAACCCCCCAACACTCTTGCCGACCACAAGTGCCTTGGAAGCTCCCAGGGCACGGGCGTGTAAGTGGGTGCGACGTTGACCATGGACAAGAGGGCAGTGAAAAATTGATTTGAAGCTTTCGTGACAGCAGGAATTACCCTTTGGTTCTTTTGGTAAAGTCACGTGGAAAGAAAATAAATTAAATAGAATACGACGTTTCGATTACAACACAAGCATCCGTCATTGGGTAGAACTAAATTTGAGAGAGAGACAAAACACAGACACGGAGACACACAAGCAGAGACAACACAGAGACACACACAGAGAGAAACACCCAACATGTCTATGTCTGTGTGTCTCCGTGTCTGTGTTTTGTCTCTTTCTGAAATTTACTTCTACCCGATGACCGACTGCTTGTGTTGCAGTGAGACTCGCGCAGCCAGACAAACAAAAATCCGCTGCATGTAAACGTTTTTTTTTTTACACGTAATATCAGCCGAGCAGTGTCAGTCTCGGAAGTCCGTGTGGCCGATGGGTTGTGTGTAAAAAATAAGCAAAAAAAAGTAAAAAAAACGTTTTTTTAAAGTTTTTAAAAAGGTTTAGGTTTCGAGAGAAGGTCCCAGCACATGGAGCGAAATGTCAGACATCGCACGGTACAACCCGGATTGCATCGGGCAGCCGCACGGCGCAAGCGACACACGCGCTTTTTGTTTGTCCCCCTCCCCCCGCAACTCCAATTATCACGGTTGACGACGCACGGTGCGAAAGAAGTCTCAACGTACGCACGTGCGTACGTTTGTCACGTCAGGGTCGAGTCGAGTCGTAGGGGGTTGCGTTTTTTTTTTGGTTTTGGCGGCGACGTGCGGCGAGTTCCTCGCTCGCGCCTACCGGAGACGCCGGCGGCACAGTAGGCGCCCATGGTGACGGCGAAGCCGAAGGCGAGGTTGATGGTGAGGAACCGTCCCTTGGTGCCGTCGCTCAGCTCCACCTGCGCCACTGAGCCACAGCCAAACAGCTGCGTGGCAGCGGGGGGGGGGGGGGGGTCACACGGGGTCACACGGGTGGGGTGGGAAGAGTCGCGGCTTAGCTTGAGCCAAGTTTGAGGTTTTGAGAGTCTATGCCCATCCCGGGGCTGCTCCCACGTTTAGCCGCGACGTGGCCCCGTTATTACCTCCGTCGCCTCGGAGCTTCGTCCCCCCCCCCCCCCCCTTTGCCCGCCCACACACTGGCCCCGTCGGCCACGCACACGCACGCACGTACACACACGCACACGCACGCACGCACACGCATGCACAGGCAGGCAAGGGGCACACGCCCCCACATGAGCTCACCCGGCAATGCCGTCACCTGTGCAGCCGAACAAATCGCAGATTAGATTTTTTTTTTATAAGTTCCATGAAGAGCACAGTTTATGGTCGACGACAGCCAACTGCACCAGCCGTCGCAAACTAATTAAGGCCCCTACAAGCCCCACAGCCCCGGTCTACGGCGACGTTAGCCGCACCAAAGAAATGCATCACAAAAAATGGCAACGAGACAACGCATGGTCATCGTGCCGATTTGTGGCGGACAGAACGGCGGCAATGTTTTTTGACGGCGACGCGCCCGTTTTTCTCGCACGGTTGGCAGAGTTTGCCGTCTTTAAGAGATCAAGGGGGTCAACCCTCACGCCAATGGAGCGTTGGGGGGTAGGCACTCATCCTCCCCCCGGGGAGTCGGGTGGGAGCAACTCCACACTCCTGTTGCAGGGGACGAGTCTGTCCGTGCACGGCACAACCACGCACCGAGGACTCCCCAACAAGGTGGCACGCGTCAACCTCGCACGGGAGACACCGAGGGGGGGAGTTTGTGTCTGGCGCAAGCAACACTACCAAACAAATTCTCAGGGCCTCAAGCAGCTCAAAGAAGGGGGGGGGGTCCCTGAATTTGTGAAAAAAAGAGGTGCATCAACCTCTCAAGTTTATAATCTATAGAAACAAAGCAAGACAATTAATTATATCTAATCTCACTACATCTGTCTACATTTCTCGGATCTCCATCCCTTGCCAACATCCTGCCTGTCATCTGACAAATACGCTACACTTATCTGAACCCCCCCCCCCCCCCACCATATGGGTGGCTCGCACCACTACAGCGAAGTAATGTGGAATTGTTCACGACAGCCTTGGGGACTGCTAATGATGGCGAGTCGCGGCCCAGAAAAAAAAAAAATCACCCGAATCTGAATATTGATTTATACCAGAAGAATCGCTGGACCAGGGGGAGAAGCAGCTTTGTCCATCCTCCACGCTCTTGCACAGATGGAATGGCCCTAAGGGTGTGGCAGTGGACGCCCCCCCGCCGTTCCACGCTGGGTGCGAACGTAAATCTAAAGGGCCTTTGTGCACGCATGACCACCTGCCGCTGAGCGGGGTGGAGAAACCTCACCGTTCACATTAATTGCCCCAGTGGTGCAATGCAACACAGAGACCGAGCAGAACCCAAGTGCCGTGCAGCAGAGCAGGTGTTGGTTACTCTCGCCAGGTCACAACAGGCAACTCCTCTTAGCACAACAAGGAGCAACCGAGCAAACTTTACTCAAACTCGACTAACCGCTTTAACCACGACTTAACTCGCATCCTACAAACGCTTGCCAAAAATAAAAACCATCACCTTGACTAATAGCCGAGCAGCCCTTGCCACAAATCAATCAGCGACCCTGAACACAACTCAACGAAGCCACCCACCAACAACTCCACCCGAGTTCGAGTCCTGGCCGTGGCCAATGGTCAGACAGAAGGGCACTAACTCAACCTCCCCCTTTCCCAAACCGCACTGACAAGTGTGGCGAAGCCAAACAACCATCGCTCATGAAGAACGTGGCGTGGAGAGGGGAGGGGTGTGGGGCGCGGCTTCATCCAGCAGTAGATTGACACAGGCGGCTGTAGTTGAAAATTGTTTTTATTACTTTGAAAAATTAGGGCAATTTTTTTCTTCCATTTTAATTATAATCACCAGATTCAAATAATTCAATAAACAGGGCGCTATACGCTTGCGGGTTGTTCCAAATGAATGCCACTCAAAACATAAAATCATTTCTCCCTTCGTGGGCATACAAACAAAATACGCCTGCACAGATCGTTCAGGGCAGTGGTCGCGGCCGAACGAGCAGCTTGTTCTCAGAGGTTCGCAGTTCGGTTCCCGCGGGCAGCCCCGGTTAACGCCGCGGGTGTAATTAACCGTAAATACACACCTCCTGCTTTGCAGTGAACGGTTAAAAATAATCCCTCGACGTCATTTGGTGGAAAGGAAAAAAGAAAGAGTGGCTGCGTTCTGTGCTGGAGTCACGGTCCACTTTTCCAAGTTGAAAACTTGCACCGCAAATTGCTCAATTGGAGGGGGGCGAGAGCAATCATCACCTGCCTACTGGCGGATTAATGTCCACCATGCCAGTCCTTGTGCCAGAGGCAGGGTTAAAAGCTGACATTTAGAGGGGTCCTCCCTATGGATAAAAAAACCCAACAACTTTGCTCAGAGGACGTTTAATTAGACTATGGGCACAATCTGAATGCAAGTGCCCTTGTTACAATCATCATCACGGGATCTTTTCTTGCCAGTATCAAACAACCAAAAATAAGAATAGGTTTTACCCATTCTGGCAATAAAACAATATCCATGATATCGCTGCTCAACCCGAGCTACAAATACCCCGATACAATCATCGTCTTTTCACTGTACTCTTTGGTTCACCAGCCTCAGCAGTTCTCCTGCTGTGTTTGTCTCACCTGATGACGATTGCTTGCGTTGCGATCGAAACTTCGTGATCTATCAATTTTTATTTTTTCTACCTACGTGACTTTAGCGAAAGAACCAAAGAGTTTGGATTCCAGCAGTTACGGAAGCTTCAAGATTGTCCTTTTACTCTTCGCCTTTTGGCGTTCTCTGGGCTGACACTTCTGAGACGAGGCCATAAAGAAGGTGAAAGCCAATCGGTTTCAAAGACAATGCGTCTGTTATTAGAGCATGTTTCTTGGCATGTTCACCACAAGGACGTGTGGTTAATGCAGACTTGATCCCATGCCAAAAGGTGTCTATTTGGTGTTTGAACATTTTAACACCTCCTGTTCCATTCCCAGAAAGGGTTTCATCCCCCTATTACTATTATTTCTACTACACCCTACAGGACACAATCAGTGCCCTCCATAGACTGCACTGTGCACAGGTGTGGAGAGAATTGGCGGGCGCGTGCGCACAAGCACGTGCTGCGGGGGCCTCGTGAAAGTTGCTCTGTACTCACGACGAGAAGGAAGGTCCCCATGAACTCCGCCAAGGCCTCACGGATCATCACGTTCTTCACGTGCAGCTTGCGCTCCAGCTGCTTGAAGCGACCATCGTGCGACGGCATGTCTGCAACCGCACACACGCGCACAAGGTGAACGCACCGACGCGAAGAGAGGGCGAATATATACGGACCAACAACAGACAAAGAGGGTGAACATACATGCACGGATGTATGTTGAATGTACGCATGTTGAAATGATTTCACACCGTACGTAGCCAACCGTGCTAATCGGAGGTGCGGGGTGCACACCGAGTCAAAGACAAAGATCCCCTGTATAGCCCTAACAGACTGTTGGGGAAAATGCAGTTAGCGAGCACCTATGAAGGCCGGAACAGCACACTAGGGGGTGGATAACCAACCCCACGCCCGGCCGCCTTTGTCTACCTCGTGACGATGTTTACATATCGCACGATGTACTTATTTGAGGCCGAGTCAACCTAGGCGAGGCTCAAGACCGGTTCAGATAATCGTCAATGGTGTTGGCCGTGAGCGAGAATCGAACCCAGGTCGCTAGGCAAGTAACGCAGCGCGCTAACCGCTACACCACCGCTCCCGCACAAACACACGGGGGGTGTACACCGACACACACACGTGCAAGTGCACACCGACACAACAACAACAACCGGCATTCGCCACTAAGTGGCGGTGACGTCACCACGACGCTTGTGCCAGGCTAGGTGCACGTTGAGGCCACGTGAAGTGTCGAACGCCCGCTGGCAGGAGGTCACGGGGCAGACCCAGCAGGTGCCACGGGTCGACTGACCGAGATGACTGGCCGATGCACCACCTGTGCCCCCTACTGTGCTTTAGCCACCCGGCGCTCCGCTCGTTGTGAGCGTCGCTCCTCCGCCCTCCGTTGTTGTTGGAGGGCGACTGCCTCCAACTGCCCAGTAGCGTCCTTCACGAGCCTCCTCCACAGAGGCCGATCTTGACACCGCTGGTACCAGTCATCGGTAAGTCCACTTAGCTCCACATCCTCCCGTGCCACATCACTCCACCTCTTCTCTAACCCCATGCCTCGCCCATTAAGTCTCCTCGATCGGTGGCTGGGCATGCGGGCTACATGACCCAGCCAACGCAGCCTTGCCTGCCGGAGGAGCTCACCGATGGGACGGTCAATATCTTTCAAGGATATGCGAGCTCCTCACACAAACCAGCCTGGTTATACCCAGAGTGGATCGTAGGCAGGCCAGCCTAAATGTTTCTAACTGGTGAAGATGTTCCATTAGGGGGGGTCCAAGTTTGGCAAGTGTAGAGAAGGGAGGGAATGACTGCAGCCGAGAAGACCTGGAGCTTCGTGCGAAACGACAGACCAGGTAGCTTCCACACAGCGTTACGTAACCGATGAAAAGATAATGCCGCTCGACTGATTCGGAGTGAGACCTCTGCTGTCAAACCAGAGCCGGTCATGAGCACACTGCCCAGGTTTGGGAAACTCTTCACTCTCTCCACAAATGCCATATCACCAATTGGGAGTTGTGGGGAAGGAGTGTCCGATGGTACAAAATACCCAGGCAGGTGCTTAGTTTTGGTGGGGCCGATGGCAAGGCCCCAACTCTTAGTGGCATGCTCCAAGTTCAGCAGCTGCGCCTTCAACTCCTTCTCTGAGTGAGCAACAATTACCAGATCATCGGCATGCATAACATGGTTGAGCAATAGGGAGCCATCCCTTGATCGCACACGGGCATCGATCAGCCTCTCATTGTATCTGTACCAGATGGAAATTCCTCCGGGACAGCGATTGAAGGCTTCACGACCTACGTGGTCGAAATAAATCTTAAATAATGTGGGAGCCAGAGGACATTCCTGTCGCACCCCAAAGTGAACAGGGAATGGCTCCGACTCCCGGCCACGTAGTTTTACCCGGGCCCGCTCACCATCATGAAGGTCCTTAATGATAGCGAGCAGCAGGTCAGGGACTCCGAAAGCACAAACAACCCAGAGCCCAGGCTTACTGATGGTATCATAGGCTTTGACCAAGTCAATAAAGCAGAGATGTAGATCTTGTTGGAATTCCTTACACCTCTGCTGCATCTGTGCAGGACCGCCCTTTCCTGAAACCACATTGGGGCTCCACAAGCCTCTCCTCAGCGTGCCTGGCAAGGCGATGTTGAATAATCCTTGCCAGGACCTTTCCCGGCACACTGAGGAGTGAGATGCCCCTGTAGTCTGTGCGGTCTTAAAGAGGGGGACAACCAGGACATCCTTCCAATCCGTCCAGTGGTCCAGACTGTTGTTATGATGTCATATAGGGCAGTCTGTGCACAAACGCCACCCTCCCTCAGCATTTCGCTTGGGAGATCATCTCTGCCCGGTGCTTTTCCTGGTCTCAGACTCTGAATCGCCTTCAGTACTTCCTCAAGAGATGGCACCTCAGCCAGCCACTCACAGGGGGTGACTACTTCACCTCTGTCAGCCAGGGTCTCTGGAGAGGTCTGGACCGTGTACCCAAAGGACTGTTGCTCATGCAGCTGCAATAGGGTGCACGCACTGACACACACGCACGCACACGGGGTTCGCACTGACACCCACACACGCTACCACACACAAACACGGGGTACGCACCGACACACACACCGACACACACAGGGTGCACACGTAACGTCGCCTAAACGTTACTAGATATAAACAGCAAGAGAAGACTCCGACAACCGTGCACGTTTTAACCCAAACGGGCAACACGAATTAATAAAACTATACTCGTCCACACTTTGAACAACCTGTAGCGCGTCGACTTTCACTATTATGAAACAACTTCGTGTAGAGCTCTCAACAGTGGAACCCACGCTCTCCTTCTCAACTCGCCAAACTCCCTGAACTGCCCCTTCACGGACACGCGCTCGTGACTTCCTCCGCCGACCGCACTCCGCGTCGAGGCCACGTGCTTGCAGGGCTCCCAGGGGCTCTGCCGTCCACTGAGTGGGCGATGTTCGTGTCCAGCACCACGAGCCTCATCCCCCGATCAAGTTCGCTGTTGTGGTGCCACTTCCTTGTACACACAGCCCCCTCAATCCCCTCCCCTGTTACACGAGGGAGCATGTTCATAAGCACGGCGTTTCATTACAATGACCCCCTCCCCACCCCGTGTAGCCTGTAACAGGCCGATGGGGCAAGTGCTTATCGCGAACAGCGCCTATGAAGGTCTGCACGGCACACGAGGGGGTGGGTGAGCTAGCACCACGCCCGGCCGCCTTTGTCTCTCTAGTGGCGAGGTTTACACACCGCACCAGGTACTTATTTTAGGCCGAGTCGACCTACGGGAGGCCCAGGACAGATACAGTTAAACGTCACCGATGTTGGTGGTCGCGGGATTCATAGAGCAGCGCGCGAACTGCTACACAGACACAGACAAACACTCACAACAACAACAACAACCGCCATTCGCCACTAAGTGGCGGTGACGTCACCACGATGCTTGTGCCAGGCCAAGTGCACCTTGAGGCCACGTGAAGTGTCGAAAGCCCGCTGGCAGGAGGTCACGGGGCAGACCCAGGTGCCACTGGTCGACTGACCGAGATGACCGAGATGACTGGCTGATGCACCACCTGTGCCCCCTACTGTGCCAACTTGCTGTGCTTTAGCCACCCGGCGCTCCGCTCGTTGTTGTGAGCATCGCTCCTCCGCCCTCCGTTGTTGTTGGAGGGCGACTGCCTCCAACTGCCCAGTAGCGTCCTTCACGAGCCTCCTCCACTGAGGCCGATCTTGACACCGCTGGTACCAGTCATCGGCAAGTCCACTCAGCTCCACGTCCTCCTGTACCACATCACTCCATCTCTTCTCCAGCCCGTGCCGCGCCCGTCTAGCCCCCTCGATCCGGCCGAACAAAAGCTGTTTAGGCATGCGGTGGCTGGGCATGCGGGCTACATGACCCAGCCAACGCAGCCTTGCCTGCCGGAGGAGCTCACTGATGGGACTTTGCCCAGATCTTTCAAGGATTTGTGAGCTCCTCACACAATCCAGCCTGGTTAAACCCAGGATGGATCGTAGGCAGGCCAGCCTAAATGTTTCCAACCGGCGAAGATGCTCCACCAGGGGGGTCCACGTCTCGCAAGCGTAGAGAAGGGAGGGAATGACCGTGGCCGAGAAGACCTGAAGCTTCGTGCGGAGCGACAGACCAGGTAGCTTCCACACAGCGTTACGCAACCGATGAAAAGATATTGCCGCTCGACTGATTCGGAGTGAGACCTCTGCTGATAGACTGGAGCCGGTCATAAGCATACTGCCCAGGTATGGGAAACTCTCCACTCTCTCCACAACTGCCCCATCACCAATTGGGAGTTGTGGGGGTGGAGTGTCCGATGGTACAAAATACCCAGGCAGGTGCTTGGTTTTGGTGGGGCTGATGGTAAGGCCCCACCTCTTAGTGGCACGCTCCAGTCTCAGCAACAGCGCCTCCAACTCCTCTTCTGAATGAGCAGCTATTACCAAATCATCGGCATACATAACGTGGTTGACCAATAGGGAGCCATCCCTTGATCGCACCCGGGCGTCGATCAGCCTCCCATTATATCTGTACCAAACGGAAATTCCCCCGGTACAGCTATTGAAGGCTTCACGAACTACGCGGTCAAAATAGATGTTAAATAATGTGGGAGCCAGAGGACATCCCTGTCGCACCCCAAGGTGTACAGGGAAAGGCTCCGACTCCCGGCCACGTAGTTTTACCCGGGCCCGCTCACCATCATGAAGGTCCTTAATGATCGTGAGCAGAGGGTCAGGGACTCCGAAAGCACGAAGAACAACCCAGAGTCCAGTCCTACTGATGGTATCATAGGCCTTGACCAGGTCAATAAAGCAGAGATGTAGGTCTTTTTGGAATTCCCTACACCTCTGCTGTAGCAGACGGACAGAAAATATGGCATCTGTGCAGGACCGCCCTTTCCTGAAACCGCATTGGGGCTCCGCAAGCCCCTCCTCAGCGTGCCTAGCAAGGCGATGTTGAATAATCCTTGCCAGGACCTTACCCGGCACACTGAGGAGTGAGATGCCCCTGTAGTTGTTACAGTCTGTGCGGTCCCCCTTCTTAAAGAGGGGAACCACCAGGGCATCCTTCCAGTCCTGCGGAACCCGTCCAGTGGTCCAGACTGTTGTTATGATGTCATATAGGGCAGTCTGTGCACAAACGCCACCCTCCCTCAGCATTTCGCTTGGGAGATCATCTCTGCCCGGTGCCTTCCCTGGTCTCAGACTCCGGATCGCCCTCAGTACTTCCTCAACAGCTGGAACCTCAGCCAGCCACTCACAGGGGGTGACCTCTTCCAATATTTGAGGCACCGCAGCCTCAGCAGGGTTATCCCCACTTTGTGCCATGATGTTTTCCTGGCTGAGAGAATTTCCCTCCCCCAGGACCTCACAGAAATGCTCAGAAAATCTGCAAACCTGTTCCTGGGGGTCGGAGATTGGATCACCGTTTTTTCCTCTAATGATGGTAATAGGTGTGGCGCTGCAGGTTACTTTTTTGATGGAGTTAAATAGTGATTTGTGATCACGGGCCACTGAGGCAGACTCCATCTCCTCAGCAACCCGCGACCACCACCCATCCTTACAACGCCTTACGGCTCTCCGAACTTCCGAGCGAAGGCTGCGGTAAACCTCCTCATTCTCTGACGTGGGATGCTGTAGGCGATGAGAGTGGGCCTGTCGCTTTTTCTCAATTAACCTGAACACCTCCTCTGTCAGCCAGGGTTTCTGGGGAGGTCTGGACCGCGTACCCAAAGCAGCCATTGCAGCTGCATGAGTCACAGTCCTAAACCTCGCCCATTTACCCTCGACATCAGGTGGAGTGGGGGACGATGCCAACCCCAGCTGCAAGCGATGATGAAATTCTCGCTTGCAACTTTCATCAGCTAACTGAGACCAGGCCACTTTTGGTTGGAATGGGATCCTGGGTGTACACCCACCACCGGAGTGGAAGAAAGGCAGGCGCATCTTACAGATGACTAGTCGATGGTCAGAGGACAGATCAGCTCCACGGTAGGTCCTGGTGTCAAGGACATGGGTTCGCATCCGCTGGTTCGTCACTATGTAGTCCAGCAGATGTTCTTGCTTGGACCCGGCATGTATCCATGATGTTGTGTGGATGCGCCGATGCCGGAAGAGCGTGTTGGTAATTACAAGCCCATGGGCTGCACAAAAATCTAGCAGCCTCCTACCGTTATTATTGAGCTGATCTGGCCCATGCCTTCCAATCACTCCAGACCAGGTGTCAGCATCATGACCAACTCGGGCATTGAAGTCACCCAACAAGATGACTCTGTCCCGAGTGGCCACTTTAGCCAGCACCTGTGACAGGAGGTCATAGAAAGCGTCTGACTCATCGGCTTTGCTTGCATCCCTCCACGGATGTTCGTCTTCGGTGGGGGCATAAGTAACCACGACCAAACACTCACAGACACACACTCACAGACACACACTCACAGACTGACACACAGACTGACACACACATCGCGTTCACACACGCGTGGCTGTTTAATAGACCACATATCCTATTGGATCGTCGCACGCGGTGAACGCAACAACAGTGACAACACAATTATCGTTGACCATACAAGCTTTGTTACCATTCAAGTAATGTAATGCCAGCAAAGCTTCGCCTGCTTCACCATCTCATTGTCACTACAGCCGCGACCGGGTCCCACCTACTCAATGAACATCCCAAGTCAATTTGTAAGACCGCATTCAGCAAGATATTAAAACGAAACTCTTACGCGTCGTATACATTCCGATCGCTCTAGAATTAAACGCGAGTAACGACGCCCAAATGCGCGTGCGAGGTGGCATCGATATTCCAACGTTTTCGATTTCCCCAAACTTAAAAAAATCCCACAACGAACCTCCCCCTCCCCCGCCTCTCTCTCTCTCCCTCCCTCTGCTCGGTGAATCCGGGCAGGAGAATGAACGAGGCGAGTGACCCTGGATGTCTCTACCTGCAGGTTTTGCTGTTCTGGCCGCACTACGAGAGGCGGAGACCGAGGAGGCCGATGAGCAGGATGGAGATGGAAGAGGAGGAGGATGGAGCTGCTGAACACGAGGCTGTGAGCGCAGCGCTCATTTTAAAGCGTGGAGGGGCGCGGGCGAGGATTGGGGCGGGGAGCAGAGGGGGTTTGGGGGGTGGGGGGAAGGGCAGCCCCTCCCAACGCACACAAAGACAAAGAGAACCCGTATATACTCAACACACTTTTGGGGCAAGTGCTCTGGGTGCGCAGCGAGCACCTATGAAGGTAGGAACGACACGCGAGGGAGTGGGTGGCTAGCAGCACGCTCGGCCGCCTTTGTCTTTCTCGTGGCGATATTGACACACCGCATCAGGTACTCATTTGAGGTTGAGTCGACCTCGGGGACTGGTTGAGATAATAGCCACTGGTGTTGGCCGTGGGCGGGAATGGAAGTCACTGCAATCACTTGTGCGCTCTCCGTCGCGAGGCTGGCACACACATCAACTCCACACACCTGTGCGCATACTCCACAATCACTCCGCACACGCACACACCGAACACACACTCCACACACACCCAACACACACACCACACACACCACACACCCAACACACCCAACATACTCAAGACACACACACACTCCACATACACACACTTGACACACACACCCAACACGCACACCCGAAACACACACCCAACACACACCACACACACACTCCCAATACACACACTCCACATACACATACACACACTCGACACACACACTCAACACACACACCACACATAAACTCAACACACACACACTCAACACACACACACCAAAGATCACTCTATAACCATAACATACTGTTGGGGCAAGTGCTGTTAGCGAGCACCTATGAAGGCCAGAGCGGCACACGAGGGGGTGGACGGGCAGCACAACGCCCAGCCGTCTTTGTCTCCCTAGCGGTGATGTTTTCACGAACCGTACCAGGTACTAGTTTGAGGCTGAGTCGACCTAGGGGGGGGCCCAGGACCGGTTCAGATAATCGTCACCGGTGTTGGCCGTGAGCTGGAATCGAACTTGAGACGTCAGATTCGTAACGCAGCGTAGCGCTAACCGCTACACTACCGCTCCCCACTAACCCCTACACTACCACACACCCAACACACACCCAACACACACACCCCCAACACACACACACACCCAACACACACACACCCAACACACACACACCTGTGCGCGCCCAGCAGTCGCCGTTGCGCGCATCTGATACATCGACAGCTCCGAGACTCAACACACCCAGCAGGCGCCGATATCCGTTTCACATCATCCTCGTCGGCCACGATTACAACCGCTGCTGGGTAAACACCTCTCCTGCAAGCCCCGCCGTCACATCTCACGGTTCTGCGATGTCACGACTATCCGCGCAGCACTTGCACACGAGCCAATTCCACTGCCCCGTCTCCTCGCTACGCATCCCATCGGCGGCAGAGGTTCACTCCCTTGGCTGAGACCCCGACTGCAGTCTCGACCGCGGACCCACCATCCCTCCCAGCGACGAGTCCTGCTCAATCATCGCTGACTCTCTCTCTCTCCTTGGCGATTCGGATGGGTCGTTGAACCTTCGCGTGCCACTCACTGACTCGAACCCGCGCGCTCATCTCTCCGTCTCTCTCTCTCTCTCTGAACGCGCGGCAAACTCCGTCACACGAGGCGAAACACAGGCGGTCATTTAGAAGGAGCGGTAACAGAAACAAATTAAAATAAAATAAACTTCCGAGAGGACGAGGGGAAGGTTCGTTGGCGAGGAGTGGAGAGCGGCCGTCGCGGATTCCATCCACGTGATGGGCGTGGGTTGGGGTTGTTGCGTTCCGCGTGCGGAGTTCTCCAGGGACTCGCCTTAAGCACGCGTCCTCTTTAATCAGCAAGATACGTTCACTTAAACCCACGTTAAAGCCTCTGTATTTGTTACAGAGTGGTCTAGATGTATTGTAACCCCCCCCCCCCTCCACCACCAATAAATTGACCCCTTACATGTTTTACCCTTTGAATATTAATTCCTGTTTTAAATAAACATTACTTAAATTTGTTTTTTTATTAAATGGGGGTCACAGGACATCTGGATTACCCTGTACAATAGTATTTCATTCAAGGCAATGATATGAGCACTATTTTTTTTATCTTTGTATTTAGGACACATTGGGAAATCATGATGTATAATTTTTACTGCGCGATGTTACGATCATCATGAATACGTCAATGAGCCGAGTGTAGTGGCGCACGCCTGGGGGCTGGTGGGTCACGTAGAGATTTGTGGAACTCTAAAACCTGCTGGAGTTTCAAGGTGCCCAGCAGATGGGAGTACAGCAGGCGCATTTGAATCAATCTCCCGGACAAGGGGCGATGTGAATTTGCATACTGATATATGCACATATAAACATGTTCATGAGTATGGATGGAATCAATTCCGACACTTGAAATTCTAAATCACTCAATGACCAAGCCACGTTAAATCTCGCCAGATGGACAAAGCTAAGCAGGGCTTTCAGCCTGGAGAGTAGATGAAGGTGCGAGCACCATGCACAGACAACGCTGCAATTAGGGCTTGTGGGAATATGTATCTTCCGGAGTAGAGCTCATCGGCGCATGGCTATGCCATCACGCCAACGCTTCCCGTGTACACCAAGTGACACGGCGAGCGTGGTGCGGTGCGGTCAAATAATGCCCACAAACCCCCGTGACCTCATCCTGCAGTGTATGTATGCTGTACTTCTTTCGCACCGTACGTATAGCCAACCGTGCTAATCGGAGGTACGGGGGAAGGACAGCACATTTAAACACAAAAAACATTTCTAAAGACATTAGTTTCCAGTCTAGATTGTTTAAAAGTGCATAGCTCCGGTGTGTTCCTAATGTCGGCAGCAGGAGCGTTCCAGACGGACGCAGAAGCGCATCTGAGAGCTGCTGCTGCTGCGATGATGCCCGAAGTTCGCGTGATGTTGTTTTGCTCCTTGATGAGATCGGCATGGTGTGTTGGTTCATTCAGCGGGAGGCACTTTGTGTGTGCGCGCGTGCGTGTGATGAGGACTGACAAAAGCTTCTGTGCATATAAACAGACGTCCTTGTAAAGGCGGTGAGCGCGGGACACTCTTGCCTGGGGCTGCTGCACCTGTGGGGGGTGAAGATGAATTCAAATTTGCCTCTGAATGTGAGGAGTGGCAGCACGGCGGCACGTGGGCGTTGATTGTGGTTTGGGGGTGGGGGCGCGCGCGCAGGTTGTGATGGAATGACAACAGATGACGATGTCATTGCGGTTCCAAACGTCCCGCGAAAAGTAAAGGTGCAGGGACTTCCAGAAGGGCCTCTTGGCCTCTCTCCTCGCCCACGATACACTTCCAGCAATGCGGTGATGGAGTTCGTGTCTGTCTCTCGCTCACTGACTTCTGCGGCCGTCTGGAACGCTCTTGCTCCCCGGTTATAGGACGTCACTGGAAGCGATGCACTTTTAAATGATATAGATTGAAAACTAATTTCTTTACAAGTGATTTCTGTGTTTCGTTTGTTATCCTTCCCCCTGCACCTTCAATTAGCACGGTTGGCTTCGTACGGTGCGAAAGAAGTTGAACATACAGTCCGTACATACGAGTGAGAGCCCATTCATTATGTAAATCATAGGCAATCAGTGACGAGATAATGCGACGCGAATTTCAAAACGATTTTATGTTTAAGCCCAGATGTTCTGAACCATCCATTTTTAATTATGCACTAAGCCTGCCATGGTGTCTTTAGAAGCAAACAATCACACATTTAAATATCAAATACATTGGACTGGCGGGGCGATGACGCCACTCAGGTGACCGGTTGGGTGACTTGAAGGCCGTACAAGGTCGCAATCGATGCCTGTAGGCTCCCCGTTCGCCTATTGCCATCATGCTATGGACATATAAAAGTTCAGCATACATACATACTATAAAGACAGGGATCCCCCGTATAGCCTGTTGGGGGGGACAAGTGCTGTTAGCGAGCACCTTTGAACGCCGGCACGGCACACGAGGGGGTGGGTGGCCAACACCACCCCGGCCGCCTTTGTCTCCCCGGTGGCGATGTTTACACATCGCACCAGGTACTCTTTTGAAGGCTGAGTTGACCTAGGGGGGGCCAGGACCGGTTCAGATAATCGTCACTGGTGTTGGCCGTGAGCGATAATCAAACTTGGGTCGCCGGGTTTGTAGCGCAACGCGCTAATTGCTACACTACCGCTCCCCATGTATGTATGATGAACTTCCTTCGCACCGTACGTAGCCAACCGTGCCAATCACAGAGATGGATATTAACATCAGCCGGATACTTCTTTTCGTTTGGATTGAACACCGATATCTTACAGCCCGTGTGCCAATCCACTGCTGGATGAAGACCTCCCCACGTTGTGTCGGTTGGTGGGGGGTTGTGTGAACATACTTCACCAGGCTGGTCAGTACGGGTTAGTGTAGGGAGTAAAGAGTGTTGCCCAGGACCTGTTCAGGTATTATAGGGTATTTGGCCTACTCTTCCACGCTGACCAGGCGTCTTTGAAGAAGTGGGGTATAAAGAGGCAGGGGAGGGAGATGGAGCCGAATCGGCGACCTCTGGATTAAAGGTTCAGCTGCGCTGACCAATCGCAATCACTGCGGTGGCAGTATCCGTATGCGACGCGAAGCCGCCAGTTGACTGAACTACACACGAACATCAATCACATCTGCCACGGAACGTCTCACAGGTGCGTTGTGCTCGCCACGTTTCTCGTTGCGGATCGCGGCTGAGCCAAATCGAAGTGGCGTGCAACTCTCTCGAGCTGACGACGTGAGAGGCACACACACACACACTGGTGGAATTACGTTTCGTGTCTCCACATATAAATACCAAATACGCGTTTCGTCCATCACCCACCGCCCCCGTGGGTTGGCTCTCCGGGAAACCACTGTTCGTGGAGCAGGATTTGTTGAAGCGAGCAAACTGTGGATCGCTATCGGCGGAAGGGCAACTTGGATCAAGAGGCAACTGGCGGTGTCATCGCACGCGCAGCGGGGACAGACACGGAACGCCGTGTCCTCCTCTGTCCGGAGTGGCAACACGGATCGCCGCGTTCCGTACACAGCACATTGCATCGCTCACTCATCC